CCTTTCAAATGTTTCGTTCTTTTTCGATAGGCAGTGCTCATCAAACTGTTTTAAGACACCATCCAACTTATCTTTGTCCTCTGGTTGAGCAAACACAAAATAATTGTAGACTTCTAATGCTTCTGGTCCAGCAACGGTTAGCAGTATTGCTATTTTTCTAGCATCTGACTTTGTATATGCTCCGACAGCTGCAGCGTACAGCAGAAACTGTTGCTTGAATGTCCTCCATTTCGCATCCACATTTCCAGTCAGATTTAACGGACTTGGCGGTTTTAATGCATCCATTCTGCGTTGCTTCTTGCTCCCGACAAAGTTTTACCCGCTGATAGAAAAGGACTTGTAGTTTTTTAAGATATTACTGATTTTCTTTGAATTAAAGAATGTAAATACTGAGTTGAGAGAATAGTCAGGGGTTTTGGGTGATGAATTTCAATAGCTTACCATTAAATGACGAATATACCTTTCTGTCTATGATGTTTTACAAATCAGATATTAATGTGTAGAACTACATTATGTGAAATATCATAGCAATATCCTGTAAAATTATGTGAAAACATGAATAAAACTACGCATCTTCAGATGTTATACATATATAAGTGTCCTACACTCATAATACAAAGTTATTATGGCATTGTATGCTGTGTGTTATTTGTAACATCTTCAGAAACTACCTTTCCAACTCCTCATGCAGTTGACTGTTACAAGTCTAAGCTTGAAGAGACTGAAACTGTATTTTTCTTACAGTTTCTGACAGTTTTTTAACCCGTACCGCTTAGTGGTTAAAGCACTCTATTGCATTTTTTTGTTGAATATGTTATATGTGATGAAAACATTTAAATATTAAGAGTAGCCTAAATACAAAATTACATTACATTGCATTTAGCTGAGGCTTTTATCCAATGGGGGGGGTAGGTTGGACCCGTTTGAGTCCAGTTTTGGATAGTCTGCCGTGGTTTCATTCCATTTCAAAGAGCTTAGCGTGTCCTTGTCGCACTGCCACTCCAACATCCAATCACAGAGCTTGAGGACTAATCACGGGGTTTGTAAAGCAAAGCGGATGTTGTAGTCCCAAATGATAGCTGAGGATTATGGGTAGTGTAGTGTCTTCGGAAACTCTGTAGTGTCTAAACTCCGAAAAAACTATTTGTTTCTCCGAATCGAAGGTTAAAAACACAAAAGCATTGTACATAATTTAAACCAATCAATATTGTGTAATTAACAAGGATAAACTGATGTTTTTTAGTGGATGAGTAATGCAGATATCACTGTGTAATCATTTGACAGTGAGGCGAATACTTCCGGTTTTATTATGAAAACTTCTAGACCGGAAACACTATTTTCACCCCATGAGGGTTGACGCTGCGGAAAGACGTAGCACACTGTATAGTGTATACACCAGTGGCGAGCCGTGACTTTTATACCTAGGCCCTCTGACCCCCCCCTTCCTTAAAAAAAAAAGAAGAGATATTACGTCACAGCGTATACTTCAGCGGAATATCAAAACAGCGGCCCGGGGTGCAAAACGCATCAATGACAGCAACCCTCTACCACACAAAACAACACCATTTATATAAACACCTATCATGACAGGGCACCCACAGCCAAGTAACAATTACAAATGAATTAAGTCGGCACGGCGGCCCACATTGAAAATGACTTAGGCCTACCTTTGATGATCAAATCACTTAAACACAAAGTCCATCCTCCTGTCCTTTTGGATGAAGCACTTGTGGGTCATTCAGCTGATCCTTTGCCACTCCAGTTTATCATTGGAACTCAATCTTGAAAATGACTCGGTTAATAATTTCGCAACAATGTCATCACTATCACTGAAGTGAGCCATCATGAACGAACTTATGCTAATTATAAATCTATCGATCATAAATCTATCGATTAGATTTATGATTCGAAAATAATAAAAGTAGGATAGACATGTGGATATTATCCGGCTGAACACAACGTGCATTTATCTAACAGGTTCGTTTTCCACAGACCTTATTTCCAGCTATTTTCCAAAACCCTCTGGAGAAATCCCGTTGCTTTCTGTCGAGGGAATCCGAGCGTAGCTTACTTCTGGGTTTTAGGATGCGTCACTGCACCACTTGCATAGACCTCACAGCGGGCGGAACTTGTCATAAAGTCGGCGAAAATAAAGCCCGCCCATTTAGAGGGAAGATATGATTGGTCAATTGTACTATCATTTGACATTACTCTCTCATTGAGTTACTATAGCTGGCCCTCTGTGAATGTAGAGAGGGACCAACAAGCTCTCCCGTCTTCACATAACTCGCAGAGAAGGCATTTAACCCTTCACATTCTAACAGAAACTGAACAGGCAGATTCGAAGGATTTATTTCTTTGGAAATGTTATTTTAAATACAATTAAATAAAGTTATTTTGGTAAAACTAATGAAAAATGTAACAACAAAAAAATCTAAAAAATTATATTTACATTTTTTTTTTTTTTTAACGTTTTCAAATATAATTTTTTTGAATATCTTAGGCCCTCACAGAGGGCCTAGAGGGCCCTGACGGCTCGCCACTGGTATACACGTTCTCCTGGCGAGACCTCAAATCATCTTCGTAATATCTATCAAACTATAGATCCTACACATCCATTGGACGTAGATTCTAAAAGTACAATATACACTTCTTGCTAAAAATCTAATCAAAAAGCATTTTAATGGCCAAACTATTCCACAATTTAGGATTTTCCAGAGAGGGTTATTTATGAATAAACGACCCACCGGAGTATTTGCAATCAACGGGAGCATGTTGTTTCTTACACGACCACTAGAGGTGCTACACTTTAAAACGTGACTATGAGTCGTAATAAGCTGCTGAACAGGGAGGCGTGTGGCGTAGTAGTGTGTAGTGCGTTGGTGTGGGGGCACAGGTTCAAACCCCACTGCAATCAGCATGTCGTTGTGTCCCTGGGCAAGACACTTCACCCAAAATTGCTCCTGTGGGGATTGCCCACAGTATTGAGTATGTATGTCGCTTTGGATAAAGCGTCTAACAAGTGACATGTAATGTAATGTAACAATCAACCTATTTGGTAGTTTTTTTTAGGAGGACAGGCTGTCCATTTGACTGTGGTTAGAATGCTGGCAGGGTGTTTGATGGCAAACTCAAGGCACTCTCTTGTCAATGATTATTGTGCCAGCAACCCAGCAGTCTACAAGTCCATGAATCAGGTATGCAGGGATTCCAAACTTCTGACGACCAGTAAACTTATTTTCCTAAAGAGGACATATTCGGCTCATCTTCAGGTTCATATTAGTATTTAGTGTCTCTCCTGGGACATGTCTCCATGCTTTAATGTTCAAAAAGCTCTATTCTTCTCATACTGCCTGTGCTGCAGCACCTCTTTTCACCCTCTGTCTGAAACCAGAGCCCAGTCTGCTCTGATTGGTTAGCTGGCCGGCTCTGTTGTGATTGGTCAACTGCTAAGAGAAGTCCCGCCCCTAAGCCTATCACGTACAATGTGTTGGAGCGCTAGCTAATAGAAGCACGAGTGTTACATAGGGATGTCACTATGTTCCATAAGTAAACAAAGGAGTCCAATGGAAGCAGGAAAGGGAACACCCAAAAAGCATAATGGGGCCCATTTAACGCTTAATACCTCTGTGCGATGTTAAGCTTCCCTCTTTTTTTCTCTCAGTGGCGTGGCCTTGCCCCATTAAAAGGGTTTGTGAGTGTGAGTGTGCGCTTCAGGCCTGTGCTCTAATAATTAGTCTTGCCATCTGTGTGTCAGAGGGTGGCAGCCAGACACCCTGTCTCGTCCCGGCCTCCAGCTATGACACGACATAGTGATCTGCACCACTATAAAGGACTGACCCAATGTCATCAAGATAAAAACTTATGAAATACACCTTATATTTTCCAAAAAGTTAGTAGTTAGTACGTAATTCATTTTGTTCACCATATATACATATTCTCGTACTTATTTCTAGCCGTATATATATATATATATATATATAGAAGCAAATGTACTGGACTGGGGTGGAGGCCTACACCACAACAAAATGAATGTGAATTTAACTTCTAGGGCCCAAATACTGAAACTGACTTGTGACCTCTTTCCAGGAACACAAGAACCAATCAATCAACCAAAATACTTTATTAATCCAAGGGGATAATAGGTGACAGTTGTACTATAGGTGAATACAATACATAAATATGTATATAGACTGAAGTTGGGCAATACAAGTCCTTGTAGTCCTCGGGGTGACATGCAACGTACGACGGAAATGGCTTGACGGCGAAAGTTACAGTGGTTTGTAGGAGTCGGGAGGAGCTGATAATTTATTCCGGCAAATTACTCAGACCTACTAATTAACCTAACAGAAGTTATTGAGTCTATGTAAGTTTACTGCTTGGCTCAGATCCACCAACGTCAGCAAGATCTCACCTCTATTAACTCTTGAAAAACCAGGATCAATTAACTGATGTTTCAATTCAGACGACCCGCTAAATCTGTTTAAGCGATCCCGAAGGATTTTGATATCAGTAAATGAGGTGTGGCCCTACCTAAGTGTGAGTGTGGCAGTGTGCAATCTTACCTTTGAAGCAGGAGAGGAGTGCGCTGATGTCTTTTAAGTTGTCCCAGTCCAAAAGGTGGGATCAGTTTATTTGAAGAAAAATAGGTCCAAACGTATACAGGGTTTCTACCTTCTCTCGTTACAACATTATAATCATACTAAACATATCGTGCTGTGATCATGTTCTAATATGCAACTCTAATTCACAGTTTTACAATTATTACATTACATTGTAACTTCAACTGCCCAATTCAGTTGTGATTTTTATAGAATTTAGAGGTCTTCCCTCATAAAAGACCAGTGATAATAAAAAGCACATTCAAACTTTCATTCACCAAATCAATTCACATCAATAGGCTACATGCACTAGGGTCTGAGACGTACTTCCGCCTTAGCCGTTATACTGCTCGGACGCTTCCGGGTTGCTTCTGGTCTGCGTAGCTGAGCATCCACAAATGTTTTACTGTTTAAATCTGTGGTTTAAATATGAGTCGACGGAAGATTTTCAAAACGGAGCATTTGCAAAGACAAGTAAAGAACTACTCCGAGCACTGCTGTGTCCCACTTTGTACGGCGTCAGCTAAATTCAACGGCGTCCTAAGTTTCCATGGCTTTCCGACCGAACTCGAGCTGCGAAGACAGTGGCTGGTTAAAATACGACGCGATAACTTTACAATCTCCTCTCACTCCAAGGTCTGCAGTCGTCACTTCGCTACGGATCAACTAATAGAGCCAAAACCCCTTGATGGCCGTAGGAGGCTTGTGAAAGGTGCTGTCCCAACTCTGTTTGAGTGGAATCACTTCACTGCTCAAACACCGCGGGCTAGTGTTTGGGAGAGAAGGGAGCGGCCCACTGAACCAGTCTCTCGGGAGGAGCAGGAAGAGCACATCGATGTCCGTGACCATGATTACTGCTCAACCCCTGAACCAGCTTCACTGGACATGTCCTCTCAAGCTACAGAAGACAACTCCAAAACATTGGAGGATCTGCAGAAGCAACTGCAGGAGTTAAGAGTCCAGCGAGAGTTTTGCTTACAGCGGTTTGCTGGCTCCGACGACAACATCCGATTCTATACCAGGTAATGTTTTGGCTAAATTCTATCCAAGTTTTTGAGATGGGTTAGCTTATAAAGAATCCTGTTTACCTGCCGTTTGACTGCTGACTATTTGAATGCAGTGTTGGAATAAGTAGGCTACTCAACTTAACTGAAGTATAAGTACAAATACTATGGTTTGAAAATACTCCTGAACTGAACATGTAGAATCATAAATCATGTGTTTTCATAAGTAACTAGAAACTATGAAGGTTAACTAAATGTGGTGGAGTAAAACATACTAATACTAACAACATCTGATAATACTTTACTACAAGTGGAAATCTTCAAAACCTTACCAAAGTAAAAGTACATGTCAATATCCACTGCGTTTCTCCCAGTTGCACACTTAAGAATGAAGAGTAAAAGTAGTCATTCTGTGTAAAATGTTCCCTGTATGTTTTAGATTATTATTACTGCTGCTTTAATGTAGTTGTTACATGTTACTGCTGTATATTACTATACCTGCACCAAGTGCCTTCTTAATCAGTCTATTTGAATTGTAATGTATTCTAGCAAACAAGAGGAAAGCATTAGCCCATGTGTTACAGTTAACGAGTCAATTAATGACTGACATGTGTCTTTTGTGTACAGATTCCCGAGCTATAACCACCTGATGGCCTTCTGGTTTTTGATTGAGCCTTCCATTTATAAAATGGTTCGTGTTACAAGAGCGATATCAGCTGCCAAGAGGAATGAAGAAGTGGTTACACACGCACGTCCATCAACGGTAGGCTACGTTTCTTTTAACACACAATCTAAACAGAAAATGTTTCTCCAACATTTCATTGCTTTCGTGTAGGCTAAAAGGCTATAGTACTCAATCCTTTTTGAATACATCAGAGAACTAAAACAACTTAATGTTTTTCCCATGGTGTGCTACACTCATGACATTAATATAGTACCCTTTTTTTGTTTATCTTCCAGAGACAGCTGCTTCAGCCAATTGACGAGTTCTTCCTTTTTCTCTGCTTCCTGTCGGTGGGTTTGAAAGAGAGGGACCTTGCAAACCGCTTCAACGTACACCAGTCCACTGTGAGCCGCATCATTGCAACATGGACGAGTTTTCTTACAACTTTATTGGGGTCACAGTGCATCTGGCTTACACCTGCAGAAGTTCAAGCCCACCTCCCAGAGGCATTCAAAGATTTCCCAGACACACAGGTGATCCTGGGACACCTCAGCTCTGTGCAATCACAGAGCTGAGGTGTCAAACACCATCCTCACTCCTCCTCCAAAGTGAAATGTATTCTACATACACATCTCACTGCACCATGAAAGCCCTGGTTGGCATAGCCCCACATGGCGCAGTGACATTTGTTTCCAGTCTGTATGGTGGTTCTGTCAGCGACAAGGAGATTTTCAAACATGGCAGTGATGGTAGATAAGGGCTTCCTGATCAGCGATTGCTGCAAATGCAAAGTGTACTGCCCACCTTTTCTGTCAAAGCAGAAGCAAATGCCAGCCTATCAGGTGAGGGAGACACAGGCCATTGCCAGACTGAGGGTTCATGTGGAGCGTGTCATTAGGAGGATAAAAGAGAACAAACTTTTTGATGGTGTCATCCTCCTGTCCCATGCCTACAACATCAACCAACTGTTTGCAGTAGCATGTATGCTGTCAAACTATCAGAACAAAGCACTGGTCAAGAAATGGGTGAAATAAGACAAGCTGATGACACCTGTGCAGGTAGCTGTGATTAAGCTGGGTGAGCACACCGTAATCCCGTGTTGCCTGACACACGCTAGTGTTTTGTTTGAATAAATGGTAAATAGCAAATTACAATGCGTTGATGATTTCTTACAAATGCAATGATTTACTATTCATTACACAAATCACTTCACTTTATTGTCTTTTTAAATACAATTGTATATTTATTTACATATATGAAATGTGACAAACAATATATATCAAAAACAAAAGATTGAAATCACATTTTGTTGTCATTCAGAACACATGATTGAGGGATTGCCTCCTAAAAACAATGACGGCTGAGCCAGGGTCTAGCAGCTAACTGCTTACAGAGTTAACAATGGCTACAGTGCCCACTACGTTTTTAATGACAGGTACTTCGGCATGTATGTGTAAAAAAAAAAGAAAGTCTACTTTTTCTCTGATTGCTCTTTGCACTTCTGGATCTGTGTATATTCTTTGCACCAGGTAGTCCTCTTGTGCCCACACTACAAAATCACACCACTGCATCCCAGATACAAGAAGTTGACCCTGTACTTGCCAGTAATAGGCATGGCTTTTCTTGAGCTTAGGGGAGCCACATTCCATCTGCACATATTTGCAGTTGACATAATTTGGGACATTGGGACATTTGAATTCAACAAGGCCAAATTGGGGATATTCTGTTGGGTCAAAAACAACTCCATCAGGGGAGGCACCAAGCCAGGGCGTAGAGGGGTGAATGACAAGGCCACAAGGGGAGTAGTTCACGTTTGCCAGTCTACTGTATTCAGCTGCTACTGTGGGCTCCATCTCGGCACCTCTCCTCATTTCTGAAGTCTGCCTTTTACCTTTGAGTATTCGCTCTGCAAGAGAGTTAGCAGCGCTCTCACCTCTGACGTGACAAATCTCTCTAAACCTAGAGGCAGTAACCCTGGGTTTGCGGAGCAGATGCCACTCTGAGCTAGAGCTTTGCTCACGGGTAGCCTCCTCAATTTTGTGAGACATTTCCAAATCAACAGATAAGCTGTTCATATGTAGTTGCTCCTCTTCTGAGCACACCAGCGGTAAATCACATGGCAAGATCACATACCCCTCTATGGGCAAGTGGGGTGTTGGTGGTGTGTCAGTGTGAAGTGTGGTGTACCGAGACGTCAAAGCAGGCATCTGATAGGACAGAACACTGCCCTCCTGCACAATCCCGAAGGCACTTTCCACAAGGGGCTTGTCAGGTCTCATGTTCATTGTGGTCACAAGCGGCCTGTCTTCAATGCTGAATGTTGAGTATGCCTCCGTAACTCTGAACAGGCAGGGATCTGGTAATGGCCCCACCATGCCTCTGTAGAATCCACTCCTACAAAGAATGGCAAAGACAATATAGCACATTAATGTGACAATAAAGGTTAGGAATACAGCACCAGAATTATGAATTTTAAAAACACAGGAAACACAATTTTCCAGCTAAAATGACCTTACTCCAGTCTGCACCATCCTATTTGGTACAGGCTTGGTGAAGACCATGGAGTTGATGGGCCCTGGCTTCACACCCTTAAGGAAAAGACAATTACTGTTCGTTGAGTCACTTTAAAACAAAAACTCTGTGAAGGATTACAAGTATTTGAACCTCATTGAAATTACCATTGTTCGCGGCTTGTGCCATTGCTGTTCCGATTCAGTACAGCTATGCACAGGTGGCACAACTGGCATGTTCAGTTCAGTGTAGTGTGCTGTTTGGAACAGCAATGCTACTGTGTGATTGCACAAAACAGTTCCTGCAACACAGGAGCACTGGTTGTGCGTGAGCACCACTGGTGATGAATCACGAAGCGTTATCTAAAAAAGAGAGAAGAAATACTAGTGATTAGTAACCTCACTTGTTACTATGAGCCAGGAGGTTATTATGAGTAGAATTATTGGTTATTTTTACTGACCCATTATCCTAGAAGAAGCATGTATTCCTGAATGCTTAGTGTTACCCTCTTACCCTACAATACCACAATGAACTTTCTTTGGAAACTAAGATGCCTTGAAAATTGTATTAAAGCAGTTTTTACTATATATTTGAACCCCCAAACTTACACATCCATAATCAATGTAATAATATCTGACCAATCAGCTGTGATAAAGCAGGGAGAAGTAGGACACTGTTGAGATTCCCTTAAGGTAAACTAATGTTTAACTGAACTGAAACTCAATAAACAGGGGGGAACAGTGTCAATGCTGCCTGCCTACACTCAAACTGTGTGCTGTCTCGCTCTTCCGCATTGACCTGTAGCACAAGGCTCTCACGCTGACCTGCCCTGTCAGCCTGTCTTTATTGGACACTGAATGAAGAAAAACAGAGCAACAGCGTTAGATCTATACTCACGTCAAAACATCTATGGCAACATTGCTTTACAAAAGCTGATACCATTATGCAGTGTGGCTAACAACAAGACAACCTTGGCTAGGCTATAAGGCTATTAAACGATAGTATTTGTTAGCAAAATTGCTAATGTTTTAAAGAATTAACAACAGAAACAGTACATAGCGTTATCCAGAGCCCTATAGTAGTCTACTATAGTAGTAGTATAATAATAATAATAATAGTAGTTATACTATAGGGCTCTGGCGTTACCTAGCTTTTGACAGCTAATGTTAGCGTAACCCGGAGCATAAGCTAGCTGGTTAGTACCGGTTACCTTCTTACCTTCATAGTTGTGTATATATGACGCAGCATATAATTTGAAGCCTTTATCGAGTTTGCTGGCTGGGGCTTTAGTCGTCCGGCAAATCCGATGAACATCTGACATTTTTAATTTCGGAAGCTCTTGTAGGCAGCGGGTGTAGAAGGTCGTCATTTTCAAACAGGAAATGAATCGGCCGCTATGAGTAGAATGCGGAAGTGACTGTGCATGTAGCCTATTCCATACCTATATTCCGACAGGTGGGGGGACTAACATTCACAAACACATCCCTATATTCCGCATGAATTTGGAGGAAGATACTCACAGGTGGCGGTTACTAATACTTACAAACACACTCCTATATTCTGACAGATGGCGGGTACTAGCATTCACATACACATACCTATATTCCGCATGAATTCGGAGGAAGATCCTCACAGGTGGTGGGTACTAATACTCAAACACATTCATTCATTCAACCCAGACATTCAAGAGATTTTTACCAAGTTTGAGAGAACCTTACCGAGAGCAAAAACCCAGCTCTCCAGGGAGAGAGTTTACCGGGAGAGAGTATACCAGGGGATGGAGAGAGAGAGCGGAGAAGAAGGTGGAGAGAGGAGAGAGAGAGAGAGGAGAGAGGAGAGGAGAGGAGAGAGAGAGAGGAGAGAGAGAGAGAGAGTAGAGAGAGAGAGAGATAGCTAGGAGCTCAGAGAGAGATCTAGCATAGAGAGAGCTCTAGATCTATATCCCTCTCTCTCTCTCTTCTCTCTCTCTCTCTCTCTCTCTCTCTCTCTCTCTCTCTCTCTCTCTCTCTCTCTCTCTGAAGGACAATAAGAGGTGGACGGGGAAGAGGAGCTGTTGGAGTTCATGACATTTGTGGAAGATCAGGATGTGTGGAGACAGGTGGTGATATCATCAGAACGCCCCAACAGACCCTCTGAATACATGACATGTGAAGACATGATGAAGACTCAGCCTCATGGTGAAGACAGGATGAAGACTCAGGCTCATGGTGAAGACTCAGGCTCATGGTGAAGACATGATGAAGACTCAGCCTCATGGTGAAGACATGATGAAGACTCCAGCTCATGGTGAATACATGATGAAGGCTCATGGTGAAGACAGGATGAAGACTCAGGCTCATGGTGAAGACTCAGGCTCATGATGAAGACATAATGAAGACTCACAGTGAATACATGATGTACACTAAGACTCATGATGAAGACTCAGGGTCATGGTGAAGACATAATGAAGACTCACAGTGAATACATGATGAATACATGATGTACACTAAGACTCATGATGAAGACTCAGGGTCATTGTAAGACATGATAAAGACTCAGGCTCATGATGTAGACTCAGGCTCATGATGTAGACTCAGGCTCATGGTGAAGACTCAGACTCATGATGAATACATGATGAAGGCTCATGGTGAAGACATGATGAAGACTCAGGCTCACATTGAAGACATGATGAAGACTCAGGCTCATGGTGAAGACATGATGAAGACTCCAGCTCATGATGAAGACTCAGGCTCACAGTGAAGACTCAGGCTCATGGTGAAGACATGATGAAGACTCAGGCTCATTATGGAGACTCAGGCTCACATTGAATACATGATGTACACTAAGACTCATGATGAAGACTCAGGGTCATTGTAAGACATGATGAAGACTCAGGCTCATGATGAAGACTCAGACTCATGGTGAAGACATGATGAAGACTCAGGCTCATGGTGAAGACATGATGAAGACTCCAGCTCATGGTGAAGACATCATGAAGACTCCAGCTCATGGTGAAGATATGATGAAGACTCAGACTCATGATGAATACATGATGAAGACTCAGGCTCATGATGAAGATATGATGAAGACTCAGGCTCACAGTGAAGACATGATGAAGTCTAAGGCTCATGGTGAAGACATGATGAAGACTCAGACTCATGATGAATACATGATGAAGACTCAGGCTCACAGTGAAGACATGATGAAGTCTAAGGCTCATGGTGAAGACATGATGAAGACTCAGGGTCACAGTGAAGACATGATGTACACTAAGACTCGTAATGAAGACAAGAAGAAGACTCATGATGACATTTGTTGTCAGATATACTCTGGTGCAGCCATGTTTCCATAAAGCACATTAAACTCAAGATAACCCGTCTGACTCGTGGCTAACTGCATTAGCTCATCCATTCCATTAGCTAGTAATAATAATAATTCCTTACATTTATTATGGCGCTTTTCCAGATGCTCAAAGCGCTTTACAAATACACATTACACATATTGTTTTATACATGCAATGGTCACTGTGGACAATACCCACAGGAGCAAGTTCAGGTGAAGTGTCTTGCCAAGGACACAAGTGATCTAGTGATCTTACTTTCCCCATGATGCGAGGGAGGAGACACTTTCTTTGCTTTGTTTACCCAGAATCCCATGTGTC